TCTTAAAAATATTGAATCAAATCACATTATAAATCTTCTTCCACATTTATCTTTATTACCTAATCTCTCATCATTAATTATCATGCCTATTGATCATTTTCATAATGTAAATAATTTATATCATGCAATCTTTAATTTACCTGCATTAAAATATTTGAAAATATCATTAAACGAAAACTATTCCAATGAACCGTTGCCTATTGTCAAGAATCATTACAATTCTATTGAACATTTCGTTATCGATAGTAATTGTAGTATTACTCATCTCAAAGTATATTTATCATATCTTTCACAAGTTCGTCGTTTATCGTGTAAGAAACTATTGGAATCCTTTTATGTAGAACAAAGTTTAGAATATCTTATATTATCTAATTTAACACATCTTTCATTTCAAAGTGAAAATATTAGTTTTAATCAAATTAAATTATTTATTAGAAATCTTTCTCATCAACTTCAAGTTTTTCGTTTTTCAACAGAATTTGATATTACATATTTAAATGCAAATCAATGGCAAGAATTAATTCTATCTCATATGCCATATTTACTTATATTTGATATTGAACTTCAAGCTAAATATTATAATAATCAAGATGATTTTCATATTTCAATAAGTCAATTCATGTCTCCATTTTGGTACGATAGACAATGGTTTTTTACATATGAATATACAGATAATTTAGCAAGATTTTATTCTACAGAACCATACAGGTAAATTTTACTTAATAAAATATATTCACGTTTTTATTTTTAATTGTTTTATTTTTCAAAAAACAAAAAAAAAGACGAAAACACTACACACTACACAATGGACTATGTCAACATACTACATATCTATGTAGAAATACTAATAATGTACATTCAGTTGAACATATTTCTATTCGAGATAATTTAGAAATTGAAAATAATTTAATTTATTTTCCTAATGTTAATCAACTTACACTTTTTAATCATTCTAATAATACTCTTTATTCAATTCCTACTATACTCGATCGAACTATACCATTAGTAGAACTTTTTAAATTATGTATTAATTGTCATCAATTTTGTATTGGTAAATTAATGGAATTATTATATTTTTCACCAAATGTTCATATATTAATAATTAATTCAATATCATTAACTAAAATCAGTTCAACTTCAATACAACAAACACAAACATTTCAAATCATATGTAAAAAAAATAAAATTATAAATTTAATGATTAAAGAAATTTCAACACATGAATGTTTACTTTTATTTATTAAACTTTGTCCTCGATTAGAACAATTTACATTTCAAATACCTTTTGATATTCTCTTATCAATTCTAACAAATTTATTCTTCGAATTTGAGAAATACAATCAATATTTATCTTTAGTATGTCTATTGAATGTAAATACACTATTGGAAAGAATGATTCTACCATATTTACCTAGTAATTGTTCAATAAAGTTGCTTTTGCAAAATTTATATATATGGTATTGATAAAAAGAAATTTTTCTTGTTGTTTTTCTGTGTTAATTATTTTAAAATAAACAAGAATATTATTTGTAATCTATATTTGGATGTGTCATATGTTCAATAATAAAATATATTTTATTTTTATCAAAGAAAAATTTTCAAATTCATTTAAAACACTATTATTCAAACAATAGAATTAGAATATACTTAAGAAAAATACAAAATTAATTAGTTAATGATGATAATTTCAAATATATTAGATATTTAGTTATGCTATTCATTGAAGTGTTATCTAAATATACTGATAGTTCTAAAGTTGAAAACGAGCGAGCTTTTTCCATAGGTATCTTGGCAATTAGATATCTTTGTAATATGAAATATTTGAAATTAACATCATTTTCAATCTTAATTCTGTATAGCTATATTACTCAGGATACAAATCACCGATAGGATAGCTAACAGCAGAACTAGAATTATAGTTCTTCTCTTGTTCTCAAACTCTTTCACTATTGGCACTTTGATATATAAGAATTTGTTGATTGATTGGAAAAGAACGTTTATTTGAATAATAAATCGATGTATTTATTTTTATAGAGCTACAAGAGAGCATAAAATATGTTCATTTTTTCTGTTCTCGTCACCAAGAAATCGTTTAACAAGTAGAATTCTTTTTGGAACAAACAAGATCCAATAATACTACATTCTGAAGGCTTCTTTGGATGACATTTCTCGACGAACGAATGCTTATCTAACGTGCAACCAAAATATTGAAAACAAACAAGATATATTTGAATATAGTTCGATGAGATTCTTTAATTTGACTTAAAAAAACAAAAACTCTTTCAATAACGTCATCGTCATTTCTAAAAAACAAATCATTTACGAATCACACAGCCAATCTTCATCGAATATATATTGAAAGCATAAATGTCATCTTGATTTTTGCATGTAAAGTTTTTTATTGCGAAGAGAAAATATTTTAAAAAGAAAGCGTATAAAGTTCAGATCCAACTTCATATTCAAGAAGACAGAGAAAAAAAATCGCCGAATGACAAATGATGAAACTCATACGTCACCGAAGGAAGTTGAAGTTATTTTTTGCACTTGCTATTTGTCGTAGTGTTGCTTCGGCTGCAATAGACAGATTAGAAGTGTTCACGTGAAATCCTTTCAATGAATGATTGTGTTCAAGTATATCAACGAGAGAATCGACACTTGAATCACTCACTGGCATGTTCGATGAGAGAGAAAGAACTTGAAGTGTTGTATTATAATGGGCAAATACATCAGCCAATAGTTGCACTCCTCGATCACTTATTTGATTACCAGACAACCATAACCCAGTTAATGTAGTCTTTTTTTCAAGCATCGTAATCAGATATTGTGCACTCTCGTCAGTGAGATGATTGCTCGAAAGACTAAGTATTTTGAGACATGAGTTATTCAGAGAAAGCGTCAATGCTAGAGATTGAATACCTGTGTCAGATATGCGGTTGTTGTTAAGAGACAGTTCTTGTAATGAAGTATTGTCATACAATGCATTCCTAAGATCGAGGCATCGTATGATTCGATTTCGTTTAGTGTTAACCAGAGTCTCTTACACATTTTCTGAATGATCGCTTGTTGAACAACAATCAGTATATCTTGATCTGTCAATTTCTGTTCGGTCAAACACACTATCGAGTAACGATCACATAAGACGATCCGTTGTTCCAATCTTGGATTGCAGTAAGTGATGAAATCTATAGAAATGATACAAGTATGAAATATCAAAGGCAATCGATCATTATGAAATGTCTGACTTAACGTATTCTGGAGCAATTAAGTAAAAGTTGCAGATTTTGATGAATTCGATATTGAATCACACTCTCTAATAATATAGTAACTAACTAACGAAAAGATAGTGTTATAGTGAAAGAGTATCGTATAAAACGTCTAGCAGTACAGTGCTTTTTTCAGTAACACAATAAAACTTTCCCTAATTTAAAGATTATATATATTATTGGCACAAAAAATTGTATATATAAAATGTGTGTTTCAACAAATCTGAAAAAAAACAACACTAATGTAAGGAATTATTAGAAAAAAGTTTTCAGCACAATCCGTGCAGGATTAAAATGTGAAACACAATGGAGCCACTTGAACTATGATGCAGAGACGTCATTATGTCTATCGCAGTCTATTGAAAATTTAGGTCAACACGTCGAAAAATCACTTGTTTCACCCTACATCTCAACATTCCTTTTTAATCGTGTTTCATGAAATAGATATCGTTAATACTTGACTAAAGGAATAAGTATTTTATTTTTCTCATAACCTGTCACATACAATTATCAATTTATTTGGTCAAAATATGATAGAGAGATTCGAATTATCTATTAATGATAGTGAACATGATAATAACAGACTAGATAATTTATGTCGCAGTAGTAGCTTACTCGATCGACTTAAATCTCTAGTCATCAATCTACAGCTCTAGACAGAAGATCGGCCAGATACACAGTTCTTTTCATGTCTACTCATTATCAATATATTGGTCATTGAAGAAACCATACATCCATTCAGTCATATTTATCCTACAAATACGACGATGTCCACCGAAAATGTAAGTTACACTAATTGATATTTGATATTCAAGCTGTTTTTTCAAACTTTCGAAAGCATAGAATGATTATAAATCTTTGGTTTGAAATTGAAGAATGATTCATGAATAACTACGTTGTTTGTCTTCACAAATTCTTGTCTGTATTGCTCATATTATTTAGAACAATTATTTTTATTTAGAGATTAAGATTAAAATTTTTTACAAAACTGTATTCGATATGATTTCAAAATCTGTTTAGATACATTTCAATAAAGGCATACAAATTGTTTTTAAAACTAAATATAAAAATGATGATAGTTCCATGAAAATTTTTTCAGATCTAAATAAAACAATTTCCAGTTGAGCAATTGAACTGTCGATAAAAATGATGAAAAAAAGAATGAACTCTAAAGATTTGTCGTACTCTTCCAATCTTCCAAGCATTAGGTAAAGGTTTTTGCTATTCTTGACACCAGAAAATTCTGTTCAATTTGAAAAACATGATGGTTACTGTATCCATTAGGTAAGCATTATTACTTTATGGAGAACTTCAAATTAAATATTTAAAAAAAAGAAGCATCTCCGTTAAATTAAAAGTTTTAAAATTTGAACAACATAACTCATTTTAAAGTTTTACCTTCTGAATTTTGCAGCAACAATCACATGGAGCTTTTTTTAGGCACAACACTCTCTTGTTAGTGACGAACCCATAAAAAGTCAATATATCAGACTAAGAACGATTAATTCTTCATTGAGATTTATCTCTATTCATGATTTTTCCGCTGGAAAACATCGTAGAGGGTTCAGTCATTTTTTTTTTCATGTTAAAAGAAGAACAATTTTTTACTTGCCAAAAAAAACCATGGTTTTTCGGATTAACTTTGAATGAGAAATAAGTTCGATATCACAGATCAGTAAGAAAAACGGCTTGTACAACTTCTGTCCCATTTGCACACTTATATCTTACATCAAGCTTATTTGTTTAGCTAGAATGTAAACGTATTTTTATCATTCTTTCAAATGAGATATGACAAATAGTATTTTGCTACATTTTATGATCACAATGCTTTACAAGTTTTCAATCGTTTCAGAACAAAAAGCATATTTCACTTATTGAACAGTTTCTAGATACTGAATGAATTATATTCCTTTTTCTAGAACACATTCTCTGAAACAACATGCAGTTTGCTGCAAATTTAAATTATATCACCTACTAACAATATACTTTACTCTTAGATAAAGAGTTATCCTCAGTGTTCCGTCTATTACATATAATATAGTGGTTTCGTCAAAACAAAAACATTTTATTTATGTATTGTTAAAGAACTTCTAAGAAATTTTCGGAAGTATGAAATTTGATTAATTTCTTGTTATAGAACGTCCTTCTTACCTGTTTAGTTGTTAAGAAAAAATTTTCCTATGTTTTCCATTGGAGGGTGTGGGTGGATATTGGTGAAGAGAAAACCCGCACCCACACCCACACCCACACTCACATACCCACACCCACACCCACACTCACATACCCACACCACACCCCCATCCATACACCCACATTTACATCCACACACCCAGACGTACCCACGCCCACATTCCACCCACAATCACACCACACACATATACCCATAGCCTCACTCGGTGGAATCTGGCCGGGGGAATTCGACCTGGGGGAGTCAATGTGTCACTGAGTCAGTATTTTCAATGTTCGGTGGATTAGTGCGTTCAGTGTCGGTGTCGCCGGTAATTAATAAACCGACAGTGATACACGCCTATCCATGTCGCAAATCCTTTCTTTCAGAAGTGGTTGAGCGAATCTTTCGATGACAACTACTTGTGTTTTACCTATAACTCCTATGTTTACTGACCGATAAAGGAGAAAGCGGACAAATTACATCAGCTGGTTATGGTCAGTAGTACATGTACGAAAAGTGATCAAAATATTGTAAAATATGATCTGGCAATTGAAGAAAAAGTGGTAGGAAACATTTCAAAACTTGCACAAAATGAAAATGACAAGGACAAAGAGATATGACAAGTTAGATTCCCAATGTCACATTCGTGTATATGAAAGAAAAGAGTTGGTTTTAACAAAAGTAATGTCAGAGTTCATAATAAATACAATTGAATCAATCTTATTTATGTTCTTTATTATCATTGTTAAATAAAATGAACAAATATATTTCTGATTTTATTTATACGCCAGCTTCAATCATGATTTTTACAGCATCGTCTTTCTTATTTGTTGAACTATTTAAAAGTGACCATACAATGCCATGATTTATTGATAGTTGCTGAAAAGCTTGTGTGCTACCTGTTTCTCGATCAGGATGATGTATTAAACATAGCATTTTGTATTTGGCTTTGATCATAGTTTCGTTAAATATTGCATCATTTTTAATATCGTTTTCGGTATAACCATACTGCATTAATGCTTCTTTAACCAATATTTTACGAGACTTTTGTTCCTCGTCTGGCCAACATTTATTAAATGCTTGTGAGGCAGATGCACCGCCAGCGATGCTACCGAAAATACTTCCTATGATTCCACCAATGAATGCTCCAAGTGCTACTCCTCCTGGACCTCCAATCGATCCTATGGCGCCACCAACAAAAGCCCCAGTAAGATATCCAGCACAATTGCCAACAAAAGAACCAACACCAGTGGCAATACTACGAGTTACTAGGCGTCCATAGGTGGCCCAGTCCGGAATGTCACCGATAAAGAAATTGTATGTGACATAGCATAATTCCAATCCAGTAACTATACCTGCAGCAATTCCAGCAGACGCAGCTACAGGAACCATAGCTGATCCAATACTGTTCACACTTGATGTTATGCTAGTTGCATTCGTTGATAGATACTTTACTCCATGCCTTAGATCGATGACTAAATCTAATGCATTTATAGCGGTAGCTTTTGCTGCTCCTTCACCACTTTTTATGGCCACCACAAAACCTGAAGTGGCATTGAATAAATTTCTCCGAGCACTGTCTTTTGCCATATGATATTGAGTTATCATAAAATACAAATATTCTTCTGCTTCTTTTTGATCTGATTGCAATTGGAGCTCACTGATTTGTTCCACTTGTTTAATATTTTGCCCTGAATATTCATGATCTTGCTGTTGCTACCGATGAACAAATTGACCGCATTCTATACAATATAGTATGCGATCATTGCATCGCACACATCGATAAAGTATTTTAACATTCTTTGATTGTCTGCAAATAGCACACTCAACAGCACTTTCAGCAAGTTGTTTCATCGCACTCGATTCCATCTCGGCACTAAAATAGGTTTTAGCTTGTACAAACTAAAAAATAGAAGTATTTAGTATTTCTATTAATGCGTATAGCAAGGTTTTCAAAGAACGAAATCGATGTAAAATGGCGTGTTCAGTAATGAGAAGGAAAATGCAGCACTTTTCACCATATATACCTTCCTTAACGTTTCAATGCAATATTCTGGGTGTGGGTATGGAGTATGGGTGTGGGGTGTGAGTGTGGGTGTGGGTGTGAGTGTGGGTATTGGGGTGTGGGTGTGAGTGTGAGTGTAGGTGTGGGTGTGTGGTGTGGGTGGGTGCGGGTGTGGGTGATCGTGTGTGAGTGTGGGTATTCTCTTTATATCCAGTCACACACCCACATTCACACATCCACACTCACCCCCACCCCATCCACACACCCACACCCACCCACACACCCGCATCCACACCCACCACTACTTTTAATATGCCCTAAGTAGTATGATATATAACAGAATGTTTTTCTTTCCTATCACACAACGAAATAGAACAGTGTTGGCAATATATTGATTTGTAAATTATTTTATAACAGATAAAAGGATAGAGCTGAACTCTTAGGAAATAAATTCTTCTAGAAATTCAATTCTTACAATACAGACAGTTCTCATCATTATGAACAAGTCTACAATCACCAGATAGTAATTATAAAGCTAAGCATCCTTCTATATGCTTTCTATTGTTTTCCTTGTTGATCATTGCTTCTCTTCGTCAATCGAATGCTGGTATGCTATTATTCTGAATTAAGAATATAGGAACATTTCTTATAAGGAAGAAAAATGCGCTCTTAGAGAAAATTATTCAAGTAATAGTTACTTACTTAAAAAATTGCGAAAAAAATTGTGATGTTGAATCGTTTATGTAGATTTTACAATGTCAGTTCTCGCGTTGAAGAAAATGAAACATAATAGCTCATGCACATAGATATTTATATATCAATGAAAAATGGTGAGAAATTTCCAACAAAATAAAAAGGAAAGAACACTGAACGTAACGACTATTTGCCGAGTTAAAAGATCACTTCTTTTCTTCCTACTTCACGGCGACAGCATTTTGTGTTGAAGTGATTTTTTTTCCTATTAAGTAAAATTGTGGAAAAAGCCAACAGAAGTATGTGTTGATAGAAGCTGATGAATGATGAAATCATGTTATTTACAATGAGGGTGTGGGTGGGTGTGGGTGTGGGTGTGAACGAGAAAGAGAAGATAAAAACCCACATCCACATCCACACACCCACACCCACAGCCACAATCACACCCTCATACTCACACCTACACCCACACCCCACATCAACATCCACACCCCACACCGCACACCCACAACCACCTCCACCCTCACACTCACAGCCACGCACACCCACACCCTCGAACACGAGCTTTTAAGTCAAGATAAATATCTACCCTCTATTCTCAATGTCAAATATCGTTCAAAAATACATGCTTAAGCAAAAGTACATAGTTTTTTCTTCTCTTATACGTTAATGTTCTTTCTTGCAATATAGTAGAATTTATTTGCTTTTGCATACATGCGTAGTTTTTTTTTCAGTTCTTCAAATATTATCAAAGGCTTCTGTGTCGATATAAGTTGGTTTTTTCATCCTTTCTCCGCATGTAAATACGCGTCACATTATAAAGAAATCATTTTTTTTTCTTTGCGTCGAAAGTATCGAATATAAACATGAAAGTAGTATCTAATGATGGACAAGAGTTCGAAATTGATCATGATATAGGCAAACAGTCGACATTGTTAAAGCCTTTCTTTGATGGTGAGTTTTTGTATTTTTCACTTTTATTTGCATTGATTATTTTGTCTTTATTCAATAACAGAAGGTGCAGATGGACCAATTCCATTACCTAACGTCAAAGGTTCTATTCTAAAAGCAGTAAGTTGGTTTTCACATTTGTAAGTCTAATAAATCAACTCATTTATTCTTTTTTGATCATCGATTATTGTAATCATCATAAACATGATCCTGAATCGCAGTTCCTCGATGACGATGATCCAAACGGAGATATTTATGAGCCAAGACGGTGAGTTTTCTTTTCAAATAAACTATGAGACACATTATGAATGCAACATTCTACTGTTTGTCTTTGTGACTAAAACACTCAAATTCATCCGTCAACAAAGATACATTTCGTTTCTCATTTTCATTACCTTTCTTCTTAATTCTGACGCGCTCAGCGCGATCCACCTCGACCTCCAACTGATTTCATTTTAATGCTATATGCACACAATGTCAGATCAAATCACGCCTCTCAAGATATGTTTTAGTGAAGAGTAATATAATATGTCACTGACGTCAGCCGTTGATCATTACTAATTGTTTATGTAATAAGCTATCCAGAAATATACGGGGTGCGTAAAAATATTTTACCAGGGAGGTAATGCTGTAATTTCAAATAGTTTCAACAACAAATTTTATACCAAATTAAACCGCGTAAAAGTTGAGATTTATTAGTATTAAATAGGACTGTGACAGTTTCAGTTTGAAAGAACTAGTCAACAGTTCATATGAACTGAACTGGTCCATCAGTTAATCCAAAAAATAACTGATGCCTATCGATTAAAAAAATACTTATGAAGTCAGTTAACCACCAGGTCGTTTTTGAATAAACTGGTGGATCAGTTCAGTTCACAATGAACTGAACTGAAATCAAATGGTCACAGTCCTAGTATTAAATAGTAATGGTGATGAAAACCTTTCAGTGTCGAATTCAGAAAATTTCTAGAATTGTACACCATCGGTATAGAAAAATTCGTTTCATGCGGCAGTTCAAACTAAATCTGATCTAAAATATGGTTAACAAATGATAGTCCGAAAGGTGGGTGTGTCAGGACTAATGCGTTATTGACATTCATTTATCAGATCTGATATTGATTTTTATCGATCACAGATAAAAAGGAGAAGAAATCTATTATACAAAGCCAAACGATAGGGCTCCTGCCTATTAATAGGCAAAACATACGTATCATTAGTATCAGTATATTGCATATACAGTGTGAAGTTGAATGAATTCATTTGACGATCTGATGGAACAAAAAAAAAATAGTGATGAAAAATGAGTGAAGTATTACTGATCAAACAAAAATAAAAACGCTTGGAATGATTGATCTCTAATTCATATGCACTAATGAACGTCTTCTAAGTGTCTCAATCTTTGCGACGGCAGATATTCATATTTATTGTGGTAAAAGTTTTGACGATAAAATTCGATAAACTTTTATGTTCAGATCGGATGACATCTCTGAATGGGATCAAACATTCATATAACAATTTACAGTTCAAGATGGCACACTCTTCGATATTATTATGGTAAGTTTGTCTTTTTTTTCGATGTGAGAAAAAACCTTTTTCTGGTACTTTTAGGCAGCTAATTATCTAGGCATTAAATCTTTGATATCTGTCGGTTGTAAAATAATTGCAAATATGATGCGTGGCAAATCGTTATCGGACGTGCGATAGATGTTCAACATTTCTTATTCACCCCCGCAAAGTATAAATGAGCCAATAACAAACAATGACGCTAGTGAATTGACAGAAGCAGCTGTTTCTAATGATACAGCTGCTGCATCCAATGCTAATCCAATAGATAAGTGAATAAATATTGGTCACTTGATAACTCAAAACATGACTTTATCTCTTCAGTTGTGTACCCATGTACAAAAAAGTGAAAAAAAATTACATTTAATATTAATAAAGTAAAATAAAGTAACCTTTCTTGCTATTTTTCACTTTTTCTAGTAAATTCTAGTATTTTTTGTACCTTCAGAAGTACTTAATAGTACTTTTTGAGTGTGAGAAGTATTTTATATTATTTTCTTTATGCATCAAAAGTACTTTTTATTTATAAGTATATTTACAGTCACTTAAGAGACGGTCCACGAGAAAATCGAACATTTTTCAATAGGATCATACTCTCGAAAATTTTGGTTCCTATATTTTATGATTGGAAAATGAAAGAGAAAAGTGAGGAACCTATAAATCCAAAATTTTAGCTCATTCTAGCTCACCTCTAAAAAGTTATGAAATACACACTAAAGGCACCCTCAACAGGTTTTGAAAAATATTTTTATTTTTCTTGCAAAATTTGGTAAGTCGGTATTTGGTTATTGTCTTCACAGTAAATTATCACAATCTTTTCAAGCAATATACCATTTAATAGAGTAAATTCTGCTCTACAAAACGGTATGGGTATAGGTGTGGGTATGTGGGTGTAGGTATGTGGGCGTAGGTGTGGGTGTGGGTGTGGGTGGATGGGTGTGGGTGTGGATGTATGGGTGTGTGTGTGGATGTGTGGATGTGGGTTAAACAAGCAGAGCATACCCACACTCACATCCTCGTAAAATTCGAGTCAAAAATACCAATCCAAACGATTATGTCCTCACAGAGATCTTTTCTCTCCATATTGAAACAATTTGTCAGAACGTCTTCTCCAATTGTTCAAATCTATTTTGAAACGATTTTAGCCTTTGGGAAGAAATTTTTCGAAGATTTTTCACATCACTATACATATACATACGCGTCCTTCCCTCAGGGTGCCACGAAAAGCTTTATAACACACATCAGCACATATCTCTCTGCTGAAGGTGCCCGGAAATCGTGATTCCACATGCAAAACACATTCTCTGCTGGATGAATCGCAAATGGAAAATTCAAAATTTCTCATGCAAATTCGGACAAGTTCGTTCAGTATAAGGAGTGTGTTTTTCGTGCGGAATCATAATTTCCGAGCAGTTTCAGCAAAGAGATGTATGCAAAAGTGTATGTGATGAAGATTTCCGTGACACCCTCACCCTCAAGGATGGATGCATGTGTTTATTAAATGTCTGAAAGACATCATAAATAAAGCTCGAGTTGGTTAACTTTTGTGAAACACGATTTAAAAGGGATATTAAAGTATTTAGGGGTACAAATTTAAATCCACACACAGTCTCAATCAACAGACCGTGACCGACATCTTAATCAATTAATTGAATGGTCTCTAATTAATTAACTGGACATCACAGACTATGACAGACAGGTTCTTGGGACCATCACAGGGTATGAGAAGCACAGCCTAGTAACCGGCACATATTGTGACAGACGGCTTTGGGATACTATCAGAGGACATGAATAACTCAAGTCTAGGTAAAATGTCAATAGAGTATCTCCTTGTTGGGGTTCTATGGTCTAAAGTAAGGAATAATGCGGAAGTATACCAAGGTATACATAAAAAGGCGAGATTTTAGGGAATTAGCAACAATGGGTACATCGTGTTTCGCATTTGAATCCCACAAGGATTGCGCTAACAGCTTTTTTCAGGTTATCGGCTAGTTGCTGTAATTTAGTGACATCTCTTTAACTGTAGTGATTCAGTGAAGATTAGATTTCATGTTTTTCGTTCTTTGGGTTTTTTCCCAGTTCAGATTCTGTTGCGATATATATATAGTGCTGAGTTTGAATTAAATGTTAAGAAAGTTTTAAAACGATTAAAATACATCCATAAAGCTTTCATTCATAAGGTAAGTTGCAATAACTTAGAACGTAATTCTTTTCGAAGCTGTATTTATGAATAAGACGGCTACATGACAGTTAAACAGGAGATTCAAATGTATCCGACTTTATTATACGACATTATACAGACGTATCCTCTGCAATCTCCGTACAAAAAAAATCATTATCTGTCTTTTATCATAAAGTGATTTTTTTTTCAAGCGCACATTGTATAGATACATGAATCTCCTACGTATAAACCAAATGTGGTGCTTTTTCTTCTGTGTCAAACATATCTTCTAATTATGGCACAAAAACATAACCAGAAACAAACCTATCTTCCGTCGTTGTCACATTCGGTGACAGTAGAATAGCGAGGTATGATGTATCGAATTTAGAAAAAGCACCAAATCCTAAAATCCGAAAATAACTTCACACTAATGGAAATGCCATTGTGTCTGTAAGATTTCTTTACTCTCTAGACTGAATAGAGTATACATTCATATTGATATCTGCAGTAATAATATACTACAAGAGAAAATATTATAACTACGATATTTCTACTCCGACATGATTCATATAGGAAGAGAATAGCGTGAGAAATGAATAAATAGATATGTCCGGTTCTACTTGCCATTCAATGGATATTTTTAGAAGCAAGAATATACGGGGAATCCAATTAAGTGATTTGAATTTCGGCTGATTGAAAGTGAAGAAAGAAAGAAACATATGACACCAACAACTTTAGAAGAAAAATGCAATTAATCACTGATTCTTGTACGAGTCGCACTACCATATCTCGCTAACTGGAGTTAACGGCTTTTGTTATTGCACCATTTTGGATAAAGAACCTCGTCTGTCACCGTCACAGGTAGTAGTTATCAATTTTACATATAATGACATGCTTACTGATAAGAGTTGAATGACTGTGCAGCAGTTGTCGTTGGTTTAAAACACTGTGATGCACATACTTGTATTTGTGGTATAAAATTTGATGGATATTATGAGATCCAGTTTTCTCGGTACTTACGGAACTCTTTAAACAGCGACTTATCTCAACTTTTTGCAAAGTTAAGATATACTAGATCCTCCTAAGTCATATATACTAATTCATCGTACTCATGAAAATTGTGCATTTTTCAATCATTATAATAAATCACACGAGTCAAAACAGCTATGTATTCAGTTTTTTAGAAAGTGCCACTGATCGTACTTTGAAAATACTGCTGTTTCTATCGATATCCAAAACTTGAATAAATGACCTGACTTTCGTTGTGCGAAAAATAACATAAAGAAAGATTTTTCCGCGAAATGTTTCTTGTCACAAAGGTCGTTGTTTGTTACTGATAACACTGAATATTTGCATACAAAAAGAAGCTTTTGTTGTTTTCTTCTGTCTGGCCCAGCAGATTATTTTCGTCGTTCTTTGTTTGATTAAATGTTTCACTATAAATGATACTGTCTTAGTAATGCATGTGCTGTGAATTTTTTTCATTCATCTAATCGACTATGCCTATTTTCACATCGATTTCTATTATTACTAATTACAATCGAGGTAAATGTTTATCCCCTTTATTTTGGCCATGATCATCAATCTCAAAAAACTCGACATTGAAGATTAAGTATTGAGTCTTTCAGAATGTGGACTGTGCAACCAATATTCATGCGGAAAAGAACTATTATTTTCTTGAGACCATTGGTCATTATCACCATAATTCTATGCCTAAAATACAGCAACAGGGTATTTCCTTCACTCATGCACCTACTGTACTTGGTACCAATGAGTTCGCATTCTTTCTAAATTGTAATTAGATTCCTATGTTCGAGAATATGATGAAATTTTCATTCACGATATTAGTTTCTCTGTTGTCCTGTTCTTCTCCTTTGACTTGTTGCCTATGTCTTCTATTATTTTTGAATTTGACTACAAATCGAAATTTTGCTATTTCGCTTTCAGGTTTTTTTCTGTTAGACTGAGAACATTTATTTTCGATCTTAATAAACTCTCTTCGTAACTACTAAAATAACTCTAGCATATGTTATACTAACACAGGTAATATCAAGAGAAATAGATACACACTCTGAAATTCCATGAATTTAAGATTATTTCGGCTATTTCTTCGATGTTTCTGTCCTTTAAATAGACAAAAATAGTTGAAATGACAAGGTGAAAAGTGCAGGTTTGGAATCCACAACACCTCAGTACCTTGTAGTGAGATTTGGTACTCAGATGCTGCCCTTATCCCCTTGCGAAATTCTCTAATGCAATAGAAGGTCTAATTATATTATTTATCGATTATAAATCGTATCATCAAAGATATCTATTTTATTGTTCAATAATACAATGCCGTATACGTTTTTTGTAGGGGCTATTTTACATTATAATATTTTAGAGATTGCAGTGAAAACCTTTTTTCTCTTCAATGCCTATTTTTCTTTCGTTTCATTTTTTTGATTTTACAGATATTTTCGACAATATTTTGTCTTACATCTTCTTACGACATTTATGACATCCTAAATTCATAAGAAATGAATGAATCAATTTTAAATCATTTATTTCTTCCTCATGGACTACCATCTTCAGCATACGCTGATTATTTAATTCAATCCAATCATGAAAATGAATACAAAATACTTGAATGTATGAATGAATACTTGCAATCTTTAGATACAAAGAATGAATTACCAATCTTATCAATCCTTAGAACATGTACTAAACGTTGGTCGATCATACAGAATATGAAAAATTGCTCTGTTCCGCTTTTACAATCAACTATACAAAAGTTATCACCGGGTGATTTTCTTCCTCTCTATTTCCATGCTCAAAATGCTGTAATTTTGATTGAAATCGATGAAAATCCTCTCAATCAACCATTGATCTCATCTTGGCAAGTATTATTACCAACAGAAACTATAACATCATCACTAGAACCACATCTTTCTTGTTTTCCTGTTCCTACATTTTGCTTACCTGATCGGTCCCAACTATTATCTTCTGTCCATTGTGAGCTACTTTTAGAATTTATGAACAATACAATTGAACATTCAAAATCTTACAAATCATCTTACACATTCGATGAAACTCGAGAAGTACCCATATCACATTATGTATGCCAATGGTGGATCACACACTTTCAAGACGTTCAAATCGACAATCAAGTCAATACATCCATTTCGTTTAAGAAAAAACATCGCGATCAAATTCGATATAAGAGTTCGGCATTTCCTTTTCGACGATCTGGTTTATGGATGACAATGAAAGTTGTTTTTCAAAGTATTCTAACAAAACGTTTAGGAAAGATTGGTACTATCGTTTATAAATTACTTATTACTGATTTTTTAACTTATTTTATTTCTACAAGAGAAAAACTAATAAGACCTTGCATATCGACTGATCTTCTTATACATTGTCTTCGAAAGATTGTACGACGATTGAACAAAATCGAAGTTTTGTTAACATCGAGTGATTCGAGGGATGTGAATCCATGGATGGAAAATATAAGAGAAGAAATTAAACAAAAAATTGATCGTATTATTCCAAATTTAGATTGGCAAAAATCCATCGAGAAAAATCAAAAAGAAAATATGCAAACACGGTAAACCTGAATTTCGTCGAAAAATAAAAATGTCGAAAGAGAAAAATGTCGAAAAAAAAATGGAAAAATGCCGAAAGTAATAATGTCGAATGGTAATAATACCGAAAAATAAACGTCGAAATGTTGAAAAATCGAAGGTTGAAATGTCGAAAGTGAAAAATGTCGAAAGAGAAAAATGTCGAAAAACGGCATATGAGAATACCAAAAAAAAAGATATTGTTGTCGTGTTGTTAATTAAGACGTTTTATTTGAATTTTAGAAATATAATAACCATGTTTTGGAGGAAAAAATGTTCTTGGAAAGGAAAAAATTGTAGAACAATAAAAGACATAAATAACTTGATAAATCAACTAGTATTATACAAATGCATTCTTATTTAGATTTTTTTGCAACTACATAAGATAAACCGAGAAGAAGATTTGACACATTGATAAGATTATTAGCATATCGACTATAAAGAACATCAATACGACGTTGTGTACTTGTTGTTCGAATATTTTTTCTTTTTGTTGCACCAGCTAACCATTGTATAGTAATATATTGCGTCCTCTTCTCCTCGTCTTGCATAAACTTGATGAAGGACCAGATATTCGGGTGGTTACGATATATACGACTATTGATTCTGTTGTGATATCCTTTGAAAAGAAAGAAAATAAGATTGAAACTTTAATTGTCATTCTCACCCTCACAAACATTATTTGTTCGTATATCGGATGCGAACACGTTCCATAGATCAATGTCATTTAACCAATTTTGTTCAAAATATTTTAATAAATCTGCCATTGGACGATCAGGTAGTTGATCAGCATCAGCTTGAATTTCATTGAAACTGTTTACCACTTGCTCGCGTGGCATGAGTGCTAATGCCATTATCTTCCTGCATAACAATCTTAAAGATTCATTTGTTGAATAATCTTTTTGCATTCCTAAATGTTGTATTTGACGATATATTGCCTGACAAAAATGAAAGAAACATGCACTATGTTTTGATGTAGGAAACTAAAAATGAACAAATCGAAAAGCAAAGTAAATTCTTGTTCAAGCATACATTTATTACTCACTTCTGATTTTACTACTGGTATAATACCTGATTCAAAATCACTCATTATCATTGCTGGTGAAAAAATTTTGCCACGATTTACTGCTATTTGTTTAAGTTCATCAAAAATATGTCGATAGGTCACTGCTTTTTTATTTATCAGCAAACAAAAAACACATGGTAAACCTTAAACAAAAAAAAATAGTTGTTTACAATAAGAGCACAATCACTTACAGATATCTATAAAAACGGCATGAATTATGTAGATTTGCTTAAAATGTGGTGGACTTTTAGCAAAGGTACCATCCATGTAAACCACAGGAGATTGAAATAATAAATCAAGTTGACGATCACTAGAAAACATCAGGAGGCGTTCACGTCGAATAAGTGATTCATCAGCTAATAAAAAACGTTGTCCATCAATCGTTGTTTTATATTCATCCGGTATATCGAAGAAACATGATTGTGGTAACAAAGGTATGACTTTTTGTCGAACTTTGAGTACAGATGGATCTAGAAAAAATGAAAAATAGATTTCATTCAAATAGTAACTCTTAACAACGTACAAATTTCTTCGCTTGTTGGTAAAATAGCCAGAGTAGTTGGGTTTGTCGAGGCTTTAGAAAGTTCTTGTTCATAAATCATTGGGATTGGTATCACCTCTTTGAGAGCACGTTCTTTAATGTTGTGACGTACTTGTCTAACTGTAATCATTTCAGGATTTGGTTCATGATTATGTTCACTTTTACTGCCACACAGATACATATTGTTTAGATCTGTATGAATGTATATTTTACATCCATTGTTATTGCATATCCAGTATTTTTTGTTTGCAGTTTTTTTATTACACTTGTATAAATATCCGTTCAATACCAGTAACAATTGACCTTTATTTGACGTAACAAAAGTAACATTGATATTTTCCTTGATAGATGATTGTGTTGTTGTATCCATAATCGATTTCTATCAATTTCAGTTATAAATGATGTGTTGGATTAAATGTGTACGTGCAATATATGTTTGTTTACTCGTCTGTGTATGAATGGTGTTTGTGTCCAATCGCATGACCAATTACATAATCGACCAATAATATTGATTACAAGTACACTTCATTTACTTCATTATACTTGTTCACTGCTAGTGTCATCTCCCGCCATATTCTTTAAATAATTCTTTTCGCCACCTCACTTCTCTAATTTCAAACAGTGGAACGTTCTTTTTTATATTCTCATTTTCAGTATCTTATGTTTGATTTTTTTATTTTCGACATTTTTTTATTTTCGACATTTTTATCTTCGACATTTTCCCCTTCGATATTTTTATTCTCGACATTTTAACCTTTCGACATTTTTATTTTCGACATCTTTATTTTCGACATTTTTACCATCGGTATATTTATTTTCGACATTTTTGCTTTCGGCCTTATTCATGGTAATCGCAAACACTTCAATTGAATCCTGATGAGCGAGAAATTTATCATCATTCATGCCACAAATTAAAAGCTTATCTTCATAATAATCATTCCAATACTTCAAAAAGACAATTCTATGATGGATATGATTATAATCGTTGGACATTGACTAGTGTTGCTCATGAAGACGATGGATTGCCTCAAGTTTCGATCTTAACCAATCACGAAGACGATGATATGGGCATAGCGTTGGCACGTATTGAAATTTGGGTACAATCCTGTTTAGAACAATGGATCAATCGCTCATTACTATCGAAAAATGGATACAAATGTTTTGAAAATTTACAATCCTTTTACGAAGATTATCAACGTGCAGCTTTAGATTTTTATTATTCGAACAATCAATCTACTGATTCAATTGGTTACAGTCGTTTTATTCTAACATCATTGACAATAATACGTTTGATGCATATAAAACTATGTGAAGATACGAGATTCGAACGATTAAAAGTACATGCCATTCAAATTCCTCATCTTCTGGATCTATTCGAATATTTAGTCTTACCCAATCGAGACGATATGATTCGAGCTCGAGATTTGTATGATTATTTTCTAGAATTCAATGAGAAACCATATCCCGATCTCTTAAGTAATATCGATTCACAAAATGCTTTTGGTGTTCATTTTGCTGAACAATCAATAGAAATCAATGAAAATCTACAAAAAATTCAAGAACAAGTTGAACAAGATAGAAAAGATAAAATCGAAGAAATAAATAATGCAAAAGAAAAATATGAAGAACTGATGAAAAAAGTCAATGATCTTAAGTGTGAATGTGAATCGAATATTTATTATCCATACCGAAAATGTGATCGATGTACTATCATAAAAGAAGCAGATAATATCAAAGTGAATATTTACGAATGCCCAATACCATCCGAACGAAGAAGTGCTTTGGCTGTTATGTTTGAGTTACAAATGCCAAATGAAATCCGCTGTTATCGAGATATACTTTGGCAACTTGTTAATCGTCCTAAACCGAATCCTTCGAATAGTATGGACGAATGGTTAAGCATTCGTCCTCATCAGAGTAAACTGAGACAATATTTCAAAGGTTCAAATAATTGTAAAGTAAAATTGGTATCTAAAACTAAGTCGATAACAGAAAGTCATTATTCAATTGCGCGACATGTCATATCAACACCTTTGGAAGAATATTTTTACGAAAATGGTCTGCAAGTTCAAATATCTCCAACTAAAATAAATGAGTTTCAAGATGAATATCGAACATTAACACCCGAACTGACGGATTCAAATTACAAAGATTTACAATTTTCTATTGATAACACAGAATTTGCACAAAATCGAGTCATAGCTGAATTATCAAAGTGTTCACTGAAATTAAAGTCAGCTGAGTTTGTTGAATTTGGTTCATTTCGTTCTGGTCATCGTTTACAGTGGTGGAATCTTTTAAGTATTCTTGAATTAGATTCATTATCAATGGATGAAGAAAGTGTTGTTATACTCATAACACATGCACTTTTACAATATGGTCCATTGACAAAAGATCGAAAATCATTGATTTGTTCATGGTGTCCAGAATCACATCAACAATTATTAGAAGATCATTTTGTTGATGAATTAATTATGAGATTGGATCGTCATTTGAAAGATTGTGAATGTAATTGGCAAAATGAATTGATGTTAGTAATTATAACAGTGATTGTCATGAGAGTATTCACTATATGTAATTCAACACGAAAAGATCAAATGACTAATTTAGTTTTAAAATGTCGTAAAACAGGTGAAAAATGGATTCAACTCATTTCGAAAAGTATTCAAAATCCATCTTTACCTGATTTTGATAAAATAAATGCATTACGTGATAAAATCGTCATTATTGGTATAACGTATCTGCTGACATATTCAATATATACAGATAGTAGTAATAGTTTAGTATTATCAAATCAAGACGTTATTTCCTTATTGACAATAGCAACAACTATTCATGACAATAATATTTTAAACAAGAAAACAGTTCATATGAGTGTATTTATGAGAAATTTGATGCGTTATAGTGAACGTGTGTTATTATCAATTCATCCAATCATAAGCAAACTTCTTCAAGAAAATTCCTATGAAATTTTAAATGAATTTTGTTCTATTCATTGGGCAGTAGTACGAACTAAAGGTGTAATGGATGGTAAGTGGAAGAAAAGAAACAAAGATATATATGATGGTTGGTATGATGGTGAATATGAATCGAATAAGATATCGATTGATTGTTTAAGAGGAAGATTTTTTGTTAATAAGATGACAATTGGGTTTTTACCGGATAGAATAACTTCAGATGAGTTATTTCGTCGTGTATTTCGTCAACATATTTTTGAAGTCCAAGCAGCTGAATCAGAAGATAGTTACATCACAAAACATGGATATCATGCTGATGGAAATGTTTACTATGAATTCACTTATGATTATGGATATTATGGAAATCGAGGATTGATAGTCTATGAACGGCACATAAAAACAAACGATAAGTTTGAATTAATTCCTCCGAGTTGTTTCGACGAGGAATTACCAAATATTTTTGTGTCGAATTATAGCCATTGGAGAGATATAAACTATGATCAAATCGAATTTCGACCAATTTGTTTTCAAGATTCGAATTTTATAACTGACAAACAATACATATTAACAATGGAAAAAGGACATACCATGACGAGCGACCTTGAAAATATCCAACTATTGATAAATCGTTCATCTTCATTCTTTCAGAGTTTGTTTACTCGATATTTCATTCGTCTCGACGATGAACCTTATGTATATATGTTAAGAGAGAATGACATTATTCACATTCATTTATCTCGGTTAGGCATTGCTTTCAAATACAATTGTCGTAACAAAATAATAACTTCTCGTGAATATTCGGATATGTACATCGACGAAGATCAATGCTTCGGAACATTGACAGGTTTGAAATCAGGTCTTCTTCTTTCACCAATTGCAAAAATTAAGCAAAAAAATAGACATTATCTATGTCGAAAATTAATTGTTCCCTTTGGACAAGTTCAAGCAAACAAGAAATCGGGTGATGATCATCAAACTGTGACTATAGAACGAAAATCATCATCATTATCAACATCATTTATTCATCAATATTTTGTTTTTATTTTGAATGATCGATTACATATTCTTCAACCAACTGATAGTCCAACAGGTTGGCTCTATTTAGCATTGTTACATGCAATGACATCGCATCCTTTACCCGACCAATATACAGGAATGACTGGTATGGAACGTTCTTTTCAATTGTTGCATTCAGCAGGTTGTTGGTCTGATCAACCTTATGATTCAATTACTCGAAATATTCTTCTTCAAATTGCAACTATTTCACCCAAAGTTAATTTTTATCCAGAACATCTCACTTGTATGGTACAAATAGATTGGAACGAGAGTAGTTTACCGTATTCTATGCAACATTTCGGTTATTATTTGATAGTAAAAAAATTAGTTGAGACAAGTGAAGATTGGAATTTCATGCATCCATCATCTACCTCGAATGATGAAATACAAAAACTCTTTCAAAGCAAAAAATATAATGAAAAATTATTAGCTAAACTCTATTGGGACTATCGAGATTCGTACAATCTTACATCTCGAGTATCTGCACAAATGGAAAAAGAGATTCGTTGCACAAGCTCGACAAAATCATATGAACCGATCTGGGAAAGTTGTTATTCACATTAAACAAACTACAGTCCTCTTCGCCTTGTAGATCATTTATATAGTAGTGGAGATGTAAATTTGAAAGATAGTGAAGAACTCGGATGTTTTCCTTTATCTCGATGGCTTAAAGATGAATATCAACTTAAAAATATTTGGATTGGTTTGTTTAAATTCGCCAAACAACTCAAGACGGTCGAAAGTGATCATAAAAAAGATGATATTGAACGGTTTGAAATGTTACTAGATTTTCTACATTACATTTCCGGTAAATGTTCGAGTCAACCATTTTATTTGCAAATGCTTAAATCCATATTGAAATCACCAACTGTAACATTGAGATCTGTCTCATATCCTGCATTTACTCGATACGCAAACATTGAAGAAATGTCATTTCAATCTCATCGTATAAATCTAGGAAATCTCGGTCATAATAAGCGAAGTATAGCTTTACAAGAAATACAAGATTGTTTTGTTAAAAAATGTACTTATAAAAATAAAAATCTTCCGCTGGTAACGCAGATACGAACGGATGAAATCAACGTGTTACTAAAATCTCCAGAAGAGAATCGCAAACTTCGTTCGTTTTTAGGAAATATCCAAAATCATTTTCGTTCTGCCATACTAGTTCCATTAAATGCCAAAGTGCTTGTCAATCCTCAACATTTCGCATTCGAATTATTTGAAAATCACTTTCAAATCAACCTTAATTCAAAAGATAAATTCATTGATCAAAAATTGTTAGAGAATGCAAAACAAAAATTTTTGCATCCTCATTCCAATTATTTTATTAGACCAAAAATGTGTATTCCAATTATAAATGAGCAAAAAGAATTCCCACAAGAAATTTTTCCTTCTACTGACTCTCAAGTCAATCCTCTCGGTGATATTACCAATTATTTTAAGGAACACTTAACTGAAAGTTGGAAGAAATTTAATTTGACCGAAGAATATGAAAAAGAATTTCCATCAGTTGAAGAAATCAATCAATTTCTTGATGTTTTTCGTCAAGAATCCATAGAAATATGGGATGAATTAGTAAAATCCATCACAATAACAAATGAACTGTTATTCAAAATTGGTTTAATGTTACGAATCTTACCGACAACTTTAATATCTGTTTTTCAACAAATATGGTTAAATGATAATGAATCGAATGTATTATCTTTGCACTTGACACTTGAACAGCGTATACTACTTGGTGGAATCATGGTTAATTGGATTGTAGAGCAGCAAGTCGAAAGAGCTTTAAATTTTGCCAATCAAGAAAAGTGGGAAGATTTTGAAAAAGAAATATTAAATGTACCTCATACCAATTGGATACCGTCAGAACATGTTCCATGGTTAATATTAGAACTTGAAATGAATATTACAATTCGAGAAATACAAGTTCAAGTAGCACGTCATATGATACAACCAATGTTGAATGAAAACAATGCTTCAGTACGGAATATCGTTATGCAAATGAATATGGGCGAAGGCAAAACTTCAGTTATTTTACCAATGTTAGCACTCAGCTTATGCTCATCATCTTCGAGTTTAGTTCGTATCATTGTATTGAAAGCATTATTTCCAATGAATTACCAATCATTACGATATAAATTAGGTGGTCTACTAAATCGACGTGTAATGCCATTTGCTTGTCGTCGTGATATGAATTTTAGTTATGCACAAGTGAATAAAATTTTCGATCGTCTCAAACAAGGATTACATACTCTGGATGTTGTACTAACATCACCCGAAGACATTCTATCTTTTGATTTACTTACAATAGACAAATGTCGACGACAAGAATTTGATACTGGTCGTTCAATGTTGTCGATTCAAAGTTGGATGAAAACATTTGTTCGCGACGTTTTAGATGAATCTGATGAAATTTTACATGTTAAATATCAGTTAATCTATTCGATCGGTCGTCAACAACAAGTCGACGGGGGTGTAGAACGTTGGAAGACCATTCAATATGTACTGAATTTAGTCAAACAACATGCTGCAAATATTGCACAGCAATATAATGATGATGTTTATTATAAAGCAGCAGAACGTCAAAGGAGTTTTCCAGAATTCCGTCTGCTTAATCATCGACCATTTCAAGAGCTATGCCGAAGAATAGCAAGCGATTGGATCAATCAAAAAAGTTATCGTCAACTAGATCAGCAACTTATCTTATCATTTATATTGGATACAAATTCATCGATCAATGGCCTAGTCGATCAATTTCCTCATAATACAATTCAATTATTTTTGATTATGCGTGGTCTTTTATCATCAGAAGTGTTATTCGTCGGTTTAAAGAAACGTTATCGTGTTAATTTTGGTGTGAATCAAAACGCAAAATTCAATCGTTTAATGGCTGTACCATTTCGTGCAAAAGATGTTGCAGCTGAAAATACAGAATTCGGACATCCAGATGTAGCTATTGTCTTAACACAAATTTCCTATTACTATAAAGGTTTGACAGATTCACAAATGCTTCAATGTTTTAATCGTTTGAGTCAAGATGAAAGCGATCCGGAAATGATCTATGAGCACATGCGATGGTAATATCCAATTTCCAGGAAATTCAAATAAAATACTC